ACACACATTCTATGATGTTCAAGAGGGTGTTTATCTCATCATTAGACATGATGGAAGACTGTTTAACATTGCATAGTTCAGAGGTGAAGGAGATCATCATGAGGAATCTGTTGTTTGCAAATGATGCAGCTATTGTGGCTCAGAGTGTTGATGCCCTAACAACATCTCATTGTCATGTTCTCTGACTCATACAAAATCTTTGGGCTAGCAATATACTTGAAGAAGACTGTTATCATGCACTAAAGCTCTTCAGAACTAGTTCCAGGTACAACCCTCGATGGTACTCATCTGGATGTTCTTGACCAATTTTTCTATCATGGCTCTACTGTTACCAGCAACATAGATCTTGATGCTGAGCTCACTAGTAGAATCGGCGAAGCAGCCAGGAACTTCGGTCTTTTGCAAGACAGAGCCTGGAACAAAGACAAATTGTCAACTAAAGTGAAAATCTGTATTTATGAGACACGTGTTTTATCCACTCTTCTATACGGCTCAGAGACATGGACAACCTATGCCAAACATAACAAAAGACTAAACCTCTTTCATATTACATACCTGAGTAAAATTCTTTGAATAAGATGACAAGTCAGGGTGACAATTATGGAAGTGTTAAATCCTGCTGGTATGTCATGCATGGGAACATTGATTAGTAAGAAAAGGCTTGGTCATTTCAAGCAAATGCCAGATCACAGAATCCCGAAGAATGTGATGTACTCTGAAACTCACAACAGGTCTAGGAAGAGAGGCAGACCACTGTAGATTTCAGGATGCTTGCAAAGATTTCTTAACATCCTTTGGAAGCTCTACTAGATGACTGGGAAAGGAGTGCAGAATGACACTTTTGTTGGTGGAGTCAGTTTGTAGTGTAGATGGAACAAGGCACTGCAAGGTAGACTGGATCAAGTTTTGTGATGACCAGCATCAGAGGAGGAAAGAATCTGCTGCTCAGATTCACAGTATTGTTAGTGCATAGGTGTGCCTTACGTGTGGGCACGACTGTCTCACACATTGGATTCAGCAGCTATCAAAAAACTCATTGGCGCATACACCATGCTCTGTAAAGGACAAAGACGCCAATTGATCAATTTAATGTTTATTCTGATAATTTCTATTCTATGCACATTTAGATCCAACTTATTATTTCTCCTCAAAAAAAATCATACAAGAAGAAACTATGTTCTTGCTGCTGTTCTTTGATGAGCCTCAAAATACACGTTAAACAATGTTGGGCTATTGCACTACATATAAAATAGAAAAGCACAGACTAATCCAAGGATACTCAAATCAAGTAATTCCCTAAAATCTGTTGAAATAGTTGGAATCTCCCTTTCGTGAGGGAGAAATAACAATGACACAGTCACTTTCTGATACCTCTGGGCACTTGTACACATGAGGAAAATTGCCCTTTTTTGCAATTTAACTGGATCACCATGAATTAAACTGATGTGTCCATGGATCTGTTACATGAAAACAGAAATGTACTCCATGGCATGTAATGAGCCCCTTTGTTCATCAGTTGTTCCTTTAAATTGAAGATTGCAGGTATCCTCTTCCCCTCCTATTTGTAGGGGCTTGGGTATAATGTGTTTTTTTTGAACACCAGGTGTTGCACACCAGATGTTGCAGTCCACCTAGCCTGACAGGAATCAACCATCTGTTCTCCTGCATGGACACCTGCAGCCCTCCCCCACCCCCCTTCCCCAGTCATGCCCTGGACTAAGTGACAATGGCACTGTCACCCCATAATCTGCCCCTGGTTCCATCCAGGAAGGAAGAATCACTTCACTGCCTAAAGGGGGAGAGCTTTCATTTGGTTTCAGAGCAAATGGCTCCCTCCTGATCACAGAATTTTAGCCTAAAGCCTCCATGCACAATCTCACCCCACAGTTAGACCCATGGCAAGACGCAGCCCTTAATGAGAACGGCACCGTCACCCCATAATCTGCCCCTGGTTCAATCAAGGAATGAAGAACCAGTTGGGTGCCTAAAAGGGGAACCCCAGGCTGCTACCATTTGCCCTTCAGGCAGACAGAGCAAATGGCACCCGCCTCCTCACAGCACTGACTGTAGCCTGTACCCTCCATGCTTCTTTTTTTTTTTCTTGTGCTGGCTGCCACATCAGTTGCAATTGCACAAAGTCACCCCACAGTCAGACTCATGGCAGCAGTCATCCCCTAATGAGAACGGCACTGTCACTGCCTAATCTGCCGTGTCCTGGACTGCTTTCAGATGCCCTTCAGAGTAAATGGCGCCTGTCCTCTCATAGCACTGAGTGCAGCCCATATCTGTCACACTTCATAAAGTTATCTTTTCCCTTGTGCTGGCTGCCACACCAGTCACAATTGCACATGCTCACCCCACAGTCAGACCCATGGATGCTCCTCTTACTGACAATGTCACTACGGTTATCATATTTCCAGTTCCAAAAAAGAGGTGTCCTGGCCCTGCCCATTCCTTTGTCCTTCAATCCCAAGCTACAGCCCCCTGAGCTCTCCTGCCGCATCTCACTCCCGACCCAGGAACCCCTGGCCCTGTCAGTGCCCCCACCCAAATGCTGGTGCCAACTGCAGATTTACTGGTTTTTCCAGTTTTACAAGTTAAACAACCCACTTTAATGGTGCAAACAGCTGTTGATTTGGCATTGATAACAACAAAGCCAGGGAGCCTGGCTTGATGATCTCCTAATGGCCCACGTGGAAAGAAAATATAAAATGTCTTTTTACATAATTAAGCTTCAGTGACTTACTGAACATATTTTACATAAATAACCAAATGTCACAGCATTTACAATGTAACCATTATCAAGAAGCAGTACTCTTCAATTTTTTAAACTTCAGACAATAAGCAATGAGTTTTATTACAACTTTTATAACAGCAAGCATTAACCATAGGCATTGTTTATGCTTCAAACGACAAACAAACAATAACCAAAAATTAGCAATAATCAGTGACTTTCACTGCACATAAACAATACTGTTTTTCTATGTTTCCAAGCTGGACTGCCTTTTTCTCTCCCTTTCTTGTGAATGCCTCCTGCCACATTGCCTGTACAAGACTCAGACACAGACATAATCTTCTTGTCTTGCTAACTCCCACAACCATACCGTACAGGTACTGATGGCGCTGATGGTCCTATCTGTCTGGGTATCATAGATTCTTAGATGCTAGGGTCAGAAGGGACCTCAACAGATCATTGAGTCTGACCCCCTGCCTGGGCAGAAAAGATCTTAGATGCTGGGGTCAGATGATCCCAGCCAGATTCCTATCCAGCCTTCTCTTAAAGACCCCCAAGGTAGGGGAGAGCACCACCTCCCTTGGAAGCCCATTCCAAATTTTGGTCACCCTCACCGTGAAGAAGTTTTTCCTGATGTCTAGCCTAAATCTGCTCTCTGTCAGTTTGTGACCATTGTTCCTTGTTACCCCAAGAGTGGCCCTAGTGAACAGAGCATCTCCAATCCCTTGCTGCACCCCTCTAATGACACCTATCATTAAGGCTTCCTATGTGGTCTGCTTTTCAGCAGCAGCAGCATAACAAGCAGAGCTGAAAATCAAGGAATGTGGGGAATTATTCTGTGCTCAGTAAATCAGATGAGCGGATATGAAGCGGTTGGGAAAAAAAACACTGAGAAGGGCTGGCCTGCCTGTCCAAGTTGTTGGACTGCAGACACTCACCAGCTGCAAACAATTGACTAGTAGAGCCTCCCTTGTTGCATTCCCCTGCACTTCCCTGCACTGCCTAATGCTCCTAGTCTTTGAAACTGCCCAACAACAATCCAATCCCCGCAACCATCAGTTTAGATGACAGTTGAATTAAAACCCACCAAGGAAAGGATGTAGCTTTATTAAGAAAGCAAAAACATCATCCTTAATATCTTTGGGCAGATAGTATTTCCAATTCTGAGTGGAGAAGGATGCCATCTTTTCTTTTATCTTACAAAGCTACTAGGAAACGATTGGGTCCTTGCAGTATCCACCCTTCTTATCTCAAACAAGGTCATTTCCAGGCCCTAAGACTTGCTATTCAGTTGCTGTCCTTTACTTCTAGGCTAGCAAGAATCAAAATTATGATGAAAAATGCCTTATGCATCCTTTTTTATGGATGTCCACTCCCCTGTTTACCAAGCGGCATCACCTACCAAATAGGAACCCCTTTCCCATTATATGTTTTTCTCTCCCAGCCGTGCACCCCCAGTCTGACCTGCCCTTTGCTCCCTGAGCTGTAGTGGTACTCTCCTGGCCCTGCTGGAACTGGGGCGACCCTTGGTTGCTGACAATGGGACTGGGGAAACAGACTCAGTGATTGCACTGCTGGCAACCTCCCAGAAAGAGGCATGCCTAATGGATCTCATGTGCACTCTCCTGAGGGAGATCCGCTTATGAATCAGGGGCTTGTTCATGTGCTTAAGGACATGATCCTTGATTGATGCATGTCTCCTGGAGATCCTCATGGCACTGAATGGCCAGTTCAAGAAACTGGTTTGTGCCGTCTAAGAGATGCTTTCTGACTTTAATAGCGTTGGCCACTCTTTGTGTCTCCTACTGATCAGCTGTCCTAAGCACCTCCCAGACTTCATCCTGCTATTCATCTTCAGTGGTCACTTGCGATTGTGTGGCCTCCACCAAAGCCCCCATCATGCTCTCTCAGGAGTGTCGCTGCCTGTAGTGGAATTCCTGCATTCGCTCTCCTCCAGTGCTAGCTGGGTCCAAGGTTCAGACACGCATCCCCGGCTTCCATCAGGTATGCTAGCTGGTAACAGGAATGAAAACAAAGTATTTGCATGGCCATCTCTCAACCAGTAAAAAGGTTAACCACAACCTACGCTACTTGTAGAAATCCCCTAGCACATTCAACCCAATGGAAGCAAAACATTGCCTGCCAGAGTGCTGCAAATGGATGGAATGCCCTTTCCCCAATACTAACATGTCCTTGGGCCATGGGTCTTCTTGCATCTCCAGAACAGAAACAAAACTTTGGGTCTCAGCAACTTCTGACATTTCAGATGCATTCAAGGGGGACGGCACAGTTCCATCCAATGTGTTGTCCTCCTCATCAGCGCTCACCAGTGAAGCTATCCGGGAGACAGGGTGTAGGATCAGAATTACTTCTTGTTCATCCCTGCCCCCTGTCCATCCCTGTCCACCAGTGGCTGCGAGCAGTTGCCCCATGCCTCAAGCATGCTTCCTGTTGGAGTCTCAGGACAGTCTGTGGTCTCATGGTCTTAATGTGCTCTCCAAAACACCGGTCCCAAATGACCAGAGACCTGCATCACCTGCATCCTTTCTGAGAATCAATGGACAACTGGTCCTCGAGTGGAGCAATTGTGCGTGCTGCCCCAGAACAAGGGTTCTCATCCTTGGCCTGATGAAAAGCACATTTTAGGGCCTTGATTTGCTGCGGCACCATGTCCAGTTC